CTCGTGACTCCATCTGGTCATTCTGATAGATTAATTCATGTTTGAAGACATGAATTAATGGACAATGGTCAGTATAAATGGTAAAAGAGTAACCATACAAATATGCATTATGATTACACACTGACTCTACTCCTGCAAGAGCTTCCAAATCTATAATAGGGAAGTTATGCTCACAATCCCTCAATTTCCTTGAATAGTAAGCGACTGCTTGGGGAATTCCTTTCTCGTCCCTCTGCATAAGGCAGGACCCTATAGCAAGACCTGAAGCATCTGAATGGATCTCAAAAGGTTTATCAAAATCTGGCTTATGTAGTATGGGAGCGGTTATTAGTTTGTCCTTCATCTGTTGCTGCTCATCTTCCCATACAAATTTCTCATTCCAAAAAAGTTTCGTTAATGGAGCCGCCAACCCCGTGACACCCAAAAAACGGACCTGGCCTCGGCCTTCTCTGGATCTGGGGAGATGCCCTGGGGACCAACCAAGAAGCCTAAGAATTTGAATGAATTTACGCCAAATTGGCACTTTGTTAGCTCAAGCTGTATTTAGGTTTAACATAGCAAATCCAATACCTCGAGATGAGTTAGATGTTCCTCGAAGGATTTTAAATAAACCACCACATCGTCAAGGTAAACCAGAGCGTGTTTCTCCAAAGTTCGGCTGAGGACAATTATTTTAAATGTTGATGGTGCAGTTGCTAGACCAAATGGCATCCTTCGAAAATGAAATAAGTAAAACCCATAACTACAAGCAGTCTTTGGTCTGTCCTCTGGTTGCACTTTGATTGTCTAATAAGCTGACCATAACCCTATTCAGCTGGTGGTAATCCACGCAAAATCAATTCCAACCATCCTTCTTTCTTACTAAAACGACGGATAACCATGGGGATGAAGATGGTTCTATTACCCCGTTTGATAGCATCTTATTGCACTCTTCCCGAATCCTCGCACATCAGTGGTGAGAATACTCCAAAGGAGCAGATTTGTCAAAGAATGATTTTGCAACATTGTGAAGAGTTCATTTCGTCTGATGCAACCGAGATGATCCAGAGTGGCCTTAGTAATTAAATTCTCATTCCCTTGAAGGTATAAGAATGGGCAAAACTTCTACTTATTTCCATCTGTGAGTGCCAAAGTCATGATCATGATCATACCCATCTGCAATCTGCAATACCGAAAATGATTATCAAAGTCATCTATGAAATCGTCGAACTGTTGCTGGTCCGACTCACAGGTTTCTTCCATAACATTAACATAGCCATTACCATCAGTACCTTGATAATGAAAATTAAAATCATCATGATAAGAACAATTAAAATCACCAACACCCTTAATGACAGATTACCTGGGGACAATGTTTGCGTTACCATCTTTTGGCAAGCTACCCTCGTGAGACTCGTAAATGCCATCAATTAATTCTGAATATGCAATGGTCATCCCTTGCTGTAATATGACTGGCATATGGCGATCATATTCATATCTGCGTGGAAGCAAAACTTGTACCATCAAGCCTGTTACCGCGGCAACCGCCATACATTCAATACAATACCAGAGACAAACATCCCCGTATTCTGGGGACAAACAATTGTCTTGGCGCAAAGAACTGGCGTAGCACCATTAACAGAACCGGCCTCTGCCATAATAAGCATATGATGCACTGCCAGTACTTATATGGATAAAGATGGGCAATCCCTCTTACTCAACTTGAACCTTAAGTCATTTCAAGTGAAATAATTTCGCCTGGGAGAGTGATATGCTACCAGCCTAAAATTATAACTGCATAGCCAGTCCATCCCAAGCAAAACATCTCCCGGAAAACTTACATTCTCTGACACAATGTCAACAGTGTGATTACATGTGATCTGCTTGCTAAATTGAAAGAACAAGTTCACATTCTTCAGCTACGAAAAGAGTGGCCAGAAGCTCTTCATAACGTACGAGAGGAAGGACTGTATTAAGGAAAAACTAAATCTGTAATAATTCTTTCTTTAATGAGTTCTAATTTCATCAGAGACAGGTGCAGTTTGTTGCGTCCCTATACAAACATTATCAATCATGTGTTCCCGGGGATTTCGCTGCGCGAGAAGCCGAGAACGGTCGCGTCCCACGGGCTGCCGAAAAGAGGTAATTTCTCAGCAAATGTCTTGTCCGGTTTGCTTCTGACGTTAACGAATGATCATTTGTGCTATTTCGGGATAAGGCTGTGTATTGTGTCTGCACACTGGCATTTGCTCACTTAGTTGACGGCATCCGCAGCAATTCACGCATTGATCCCAATAACCTATTATCATCTCTTCGTAGTGAGCTCATTCTTGATGTCCCGGCCGCTTTTCCGCTATTGTTTCGTTTCGACCGTCTATTCATACTGTGGCTTAATGCGAGTGAAATATGAAACAAAACAAGCAATCAAGTGGTACGCTTAAACTCCAACTGTCACACGTAAAGATTTACCTATGGTTCTCAGGTAGACGGCTACTCGTTCCAAGAAAAACTGCACTTAACGACTTACGCTAATTACAACATCACGTTGTTTCTCACTGCTCGGCACCAAGTGATGGTCTATTATTTGGTGGAGAGCAGGATACGATCCGATAGCAAGTTGTAGCAATCGATGCGTTTTGATAATCTCTCGCAAAGATTAAGATAAGTGCTCGCTGCCACCACCCATTTAGTTGGGAACGGGATGTGTCAATGTTGTGAGATGATAGTGTAAGGTAAGAGTGTGAGGAACGGAAAGATAGTGAGAGTGTGTGTGTGTGTGTGAGAGAGAGGGAAGGCATGTAGGTATAGTGTGTGAGAGTTCAGTAAGCATGCTTTAGCCGAGAGGAGACGTGTGCAGTATGATGCCGCAGTGTGTGGTACTGCTTCCTGTATACTGATAAATTCATTTACAATTCACTCCGTAAAGTAAACTCTCATTTCTTCGCTCATTAGTAATACATTATTTCTGTAGTTCTTGCGTTCTTGTGTCTTCTTCTTCTTCTGGCTTTAGTTCCATTTAATGGGGTCGCCGGTGCAGAGCTTCCTCCTCCATAGCTTCCTATCAGCTGCATCATTTTCGCTTAGTCCTTTCTGCATTTTATCTTCTCTCACGCAATCCTCCCATCTTCTCTTTGGTCTGCCTATCTTTCTCTTTCCCACCTGCATACTTCTCACACGCTTCCCTACATATCCTTCATCTTTTCGTACAATATGTCCCAGCCACCGTAATTTGCTTTCCTGTAGCTTTCCATTCAGTTCCCCAACTCTTAGTCTCTTTCTTATTTCCTTTGGAAAGAACTTTGTCCTTTCTTGTAAGACCTAATGACCACCTCAGCATTTTCATTTCAGCCACTTCCATTTTCTTTTCCTGCCCTTTTGTGAAAGCTACTGCTTCCATGCCATATAACATTGCAGGCCATGCCATAGTCTTCTAGAGTTTCCCTTTTACAGTGCTCGAAACTTTCCTGTGCACATATTATTCCTTTGACCTTCTTCCAAGCTGCCCAGCCTGCTTGTATTCTCTTTGTCACTTCTCTCTCAGATTCACCGTCCGCTTGTACAGTAGACCCTAGTGTGTTTAAACTCTACCTGTTTCAGGTTCTACTTCTTCCTTCGTTTCTGCACAAACCACCACATCATCAGCAAATAGCATGTCCCATGGAGCCTCTCTCTATATTGGGGCTGTTAGGCAGTCAATTATTACTGCAAACAGGAAGGGGCTAAGAGCTGAGCCCTGGTGGAGCCGCACTGTAACCTCGAATTCCTCAGTATCACCAGCTACACATCTTACACGTGTCCTACTGCCCATATACATGTCTTGCACTAATCTGATGTATTTCTCCTGCACCTTCTTTCAGACGCAGACAGTTCCACATCTCCTGCCTTGGAACTCTGTCGCAGGCCTTCTCCAGGTCGATGAATACGCAATGTAGTTCTTCTTGACCTCTGTAGTTTTCCATAACTTGCTGCAATTCAAAGGTTGCATCTGTTGCGCTTCTCTTGGGCATGAAGCTAAATAGTTGCTACAGTCCTGGGTATCTCCTTTGTTCTTGAAAATTGGTATTAGTGTACTTGCTCTCCATGATGATTTTGAACACTTCTGTCAGCCACTCAACTGCTGTTTTCCCCATGACCTTCCGTGCTTCCACTGGCATGTCATCTGGTCCCACTGTTTTCCCTCTCTTCATTTGTTTCATAGCTGTTACTACTTCCTCTGTTCTCACATCCTCCACCTCTCTTTCCTCTGCCGCTTATATCTCTTTCTTCCCTTGGGTTCTCTACATTCATCTGTGTGTCATCTGTCAGTACCTGACCATCTTCATTCTTCACTCTTTTTGCCTGGTACACATCCTGAGTCTCTCTTCTTCTGCTTCGCTATCCTTATAGCTTTCCTTTGTCCTTCTTCTCCTTCTAGGCTGATGTACAAATCTTCATATGCTTTATTTTTGGCTTTCGCCACTTCTTTCTTCACCTTCTTATTTGGAATTTTATAGGCTGTGATAGTCTCCTCATATCTATTTAGGTCTCTTTCCCTTTTTCTCTCCTTTTCCTTTACTGATTCTTGTACTTCAGTGCACCACCACCATGTCTCTTCCTTCTTCCCTTTCTTACCAGAAGTATGTCCTAGTATCTCTTCTGCAGTTTCCCATACTACTGTGCTCAATTCACCCCATATGTTCTCCTCCTCCCCCAATTCTGTCTCCACTCTCTGCGTAAATTTATCCCGGTGTTCCTCCTCATTCAACTTCCACCAGCGTGTTTTCCTTGTACCAGTCTGCTTCATTTGTCTATGTTGTTTCATCTTTACTTTACAGACCACCAGCTTATGCTGTTTGGCCACGGCTTCCTTTAGTAAGACGTAACAGTCTTGAACATTTTGCAATTCATTCCGTCTGCACATCATGTAGTCTACCTGTGTTTTCAGTCTTCCGCTAGTGTATGTTACTCAACGAGTCAGTCTTTTCTGGAAGTAGGTGTTGTGGCTTTGTGCTGTTGCAAAGTCCACAATTTTGTCGCCTCCTTCATTCCTTGTCCCCACTCCATATCTCCCCGTGATTTCTGTCTCTGCTCCCTTCTCTGTGTCCATTTAGGTCACCTGTTATCCATACTTCCTCACCTTCTGGTACTTTCAACATTGTGTCTCCCAGAAGATTCCAGAAGTCATCACTTTCTTCATTTGTATACCCCACTTGAGGAGCATACACACATACAAAGTTTACCGTTGCCTCTCCTACAATCTTTAACCACATCACCCTGTCGGACTCTCTACTAACCTGGATGACCCCCTCTTTCATCTCTGGGCTTAGCACCACCCCAGCACCGTTCCTCCTGTTATCCACACCCATGTAGTACAACTTATAGCCTTTTCAAAGCACGTTGATCTTTTTCTTCTCCATCACATCTACTACTTCTCTCCCCTTTCCTGGCATTGTACCCCCACTCAGCATTGCAATCACCAATGTTCTGTCCTCCAACTGTCTCCTCCTCCTATCTCTCCTCTGAGCTAATTTCTTTAGCCTTATCCGCTCTTGATAAGGTAGCTGTCGTCCATTTTCCACAGCTGTACTGCGATATTGCTGCGCATCACTTGCGGGGAATGCCCTAGCATGATCTCTATCCTTAGGTATCCGCATCTCATATTTTTGGCTAAAGACCGGATGCCCTTCCTGCCATCCAACCTCTTTCAGTCGCCTTCTACGACACGCTGGCCTTATTCTTATATTCCCGGGGTATAAATAAGGGTATAAATAACGACTTAAAATAAAACTTTTCATAATTACCAAGCAGAGACAAATAAATTAAAACAGTAAAAAGAGGGAGATGTAGCCGCGTTTTCTTTCCTGGGTGCGTTTTCTATAGGTGAGAGTTAGAGTAAGAGGGAGTGCAAGACAACACTTCACTTCACATATATATTATATGTATGTATATGTATATATATATATATATATATATATATATATATATATATTAATGTATATATATGTATATATCATATAAATTATACATATATATGATTTGTATCTGTATGTTGTATCAGCCTACACGTCTACTGGTTCTTTAAACCTTTGCTTTAATAACTGTCCGCTTTGTGAAGTATTAGGGAGGGAAAAAGTTAGAAAGGAGAAGGGTGTGGCTCTAGAATAAAGAAGCACATTTGCTTACTTTTCATTAGCTTACTTGACTTGACAGTTGATGAATCACTGTACAGGAGGTTAAAATTATGTCTTTTTATCTTCTCTGTGGAAGGTGCGGTGTTAATCCCTAGCCAATTACCCTAGCCTTTTTTTTTCTTTTCTTTTTTTTTCTTTTTTTTTTTACTTATGGAGATTAACTAAAATGATGGTCAATTTGTATGAGAGATTATTTAAAGCCTCATATCCTTTTAAAGTATATGATGATTTCACAGAGAATTTAGATTATCTACTGGAAAAAGTCTATTCTAATGTCAGTTACAAGGATATATATGTCAGGGTTTTTATGCAAGTTCCCTCTTGCTACGGGTCAGTAAGCAGGCAACTTTTGACTTGAAAAGGGAACAAAAATTGCATGATTTCCCCTCTCCCCTTCTCTCCAGTCAGTAAGGCTAACACGCACCTGATTCATCAAAGCCATCGTCGATGAAGTCGCCCCGTGGTACAAGTGTTAGCGCATTGACCCGCGGTTGATTAAGAAGGGCATCCAGTCAGGCAAGGGGTAAGACTGCCAAATAACTTTGGAAAGCTTCAGTTATAGTAAGTACCTGACTACTCCCTAACTTACATTGTTTTCACACACCACTCTTCGCTTCGCAAGACTGAGAAAGGCATCTCAACTTTTCAGATTCAGACAAAATATTTTCTTATTACATAAATTGTACTTCATATGAAATATGGAAATTGCATAAGGTTTTGAATATCATTGTATCCACCGCGAGTGAGTTCCGTGTCCAAATCAGACAACTGCATAATTCAAGTGATTACGGACATTTACTTGACTTATTGATTGAAGTATATCAACAAATCAGGATAAACAGTATTTTTTTTTTTTTTTTTTTTACAATTTTACATCAAATACAAATGGTCCCTCTATATGGGTAAAATTTGAAGACAATCTTGACGATCGCTGGAACATGGTAATAATTTCCAACGTGTCCGAGTCATATGATGTGGCATTGACTTCGATATGATGAATGTCTTCAAAATCATTCTGGACTTCTATGATATAACGCTACAGGCTGAAAATTATCAACGAAAAGGTTGTGTATTTTCATCTGTTGATATATTACAGGCATGACAAGTAAATGCCTCTGATCATTGGAATCGTCCAGTTGTCTGAGATTCGGACTCCATGGAACTCGCTCGCAGTGGATACCATTAGAGGTAAAATTTCTAACAAGAACAAAGGATGTAATAAGAAAAAGAAAATAAATGTTTTGCCTAATTTCATTTGAAACATTCCATACACGTAAAATCCATACGCATTTAGTAATTGAATTAATGTTATTATTGCCTTTATAATGTGAAATTAAGAAAGATAACTTCTTTCAAACCTTCTTGTCAGTAAAAAAAATACCGGATACCGTGTTTTGTAGCGACTAAGAGACAAAATCAAACAATATATCTACAAAGAGGCATATATATGCATATATATATATATATATATATATATATATATATATATATATATATATATATATATATATATATTTATATATTTATATTTATATTTAAGAGAGAGAAAGAGTGTGTGTGCCTGTATTGTGCACAGATACATAAAGAAACAGAGAGCGATTCCTCCCCTACAGCTTTGTAGCCTTAGCATTATTGCAAATATTCTCTTCTGTGCGGATATTGAACAAAGGGAAACCAAAGGAGAATGCACAGAAAAGGAGAAGAAATAAACGCAAGGGGAAGAGGAAAAAGCTAGTGTGAGTGTGTCTTGCGCGTGTGACTGTACATGTTTCTGTGTGTGTATGATTTTCATTTGAATTACCTTTATAGCGCCGATTTTTCTCTCAATAAGTGTCTTTTTTTAATCACGGTTCTGCATACGTTAGTTTATTCTATTATAAAATTATATCAGATAACTATAGCTTTTACTTCTTCTTTTTTTGAGGGGGGGGGGGGGAGTCTAGTATTAGCATGATTTATATTTCATGAATCTTTTTTTTTTCCTACAATTTAGTTTAGAATTAACATGCTCTATATTTCATAACTTGAGAATTACGCCACTACATCAGTAAATTAAATATATAAGTCAAACACAAAACATTTTTCTACACCACTGGATTCCTTTTTTTCGTTCTTGGCAACCGTGACATTTATGAGGGAACGAAATTTACATTAAATACGTGAATATGACTCAAAGCACGTAATCACGGGTAATTAGTTCAATCTCTGAAAATTAAAATCAAATCTTTTTGTCTTGTTAATATTGTACTCTGTTCCTGGTTTTGTCTGATTCTATTGTTATTGTTGTTGTTGTTGCTGTTTTTTTTCTTTCTTCGTGTTTATCATCTTTATCTTTTAGTTTCCTTGTTTCTCTTCTTATTTGTTCATTTTGTTTGTTTTATTACGCTTCTCTTTTTTATGTTTTAATTTAATCTGTTTCTTTGTTCTTTTTTATCCTTTTTGTTTTTAATATTTTCACACTTTAGTATTCTTATTTATTTTTCTTATTTTAACCCCTTGGTGCCGGGTATGACGTGTACGTACGTGCTATGCCCACCGTGAGTACTTGTTTGATTGTTTTTACGCATAGATGGCAACACTTGTACTAAATCACCAATGAGACAGTTACAAGCACCGCCCGTCTCGACGGTTTACCCGTTTCTTTGATTTACGAAATATTTTACGTAATCTTATTTTGCTGTTACTAATGTTAAAAAATATTTATAAAAATTATAATGTTTATGATAAAAATAACACCATCGATTTTCATAGCACTGGTGAAAAATACGTTTTTCCCGCCATTTAAATCTGGCGCTAGCAGATTAATGCTTTATTTTATTTTCTTACTATAGAAATACTTTTTTGCTATAGTCCTTTTATATTTCGTATAGTTTTACTTCAATCCGTTGTTGTTTTTTTCTTATTTTTGTCTTGTTTTTTTTCTCTCTCTCTTTGCTGTAATTTTTTTTCCGCTTTTTCCTTTGTTTTTCTCTCTTTCTTTGTCTTACTTAAGTGGGATGGATTTTTCCCGTTTTGCCAGATAGGAGGTTGCAATATATATGTATGTATATATATATATATATATTATATATATATATATATATATTATATATATATATATATTATATATATATATATATATTGTGTGTGTGTGTGTGGTGTGTGTGTGTGTGTTGTGTGTGTGTGTGTTGTGTGTGTGTGTGTTTCTTTTTGTTATTTTTTTTACACCAATCTAAGTTCCAGAATATTAACGTCCGAACGAAAAAGAATTCCCCTTAAAATGAAAAAAAAGATAATAATAATGATAAATAAAACATTAGCTTGTCATTTTCCAGTTTTGATTTTCGCGTTTTCTGTTATTCTGTTTTCTTTTCCCCGTTTTCTTTTTTCATGATATTCCTTCATGATCAAGTTTGTCATCAAGAACCATATAATAGTTATCGAAAAATAATACAAAAATAAAGTAGGCCTAAACTGGGACAAAAATAACCCACAAACTAAACTAGCATAAGTCTGTGTGATTTTGCACATAAATCCCTTGTTTTTTATTGTTTCCTATCTACATACATTTTTTTTTTTTCGTAATTTAGTTATTTGTGATACTGTTTATTGTTCGTGCGTGTGTTTGTTTTTTTCTTATTCTTCTTTACTGTTTTTTTTATTATTGTTGTTTTTTCTACTTGTTCATCTACTTTATGTTTATTCTTCTTTTTTATTCTTTTGTTGCTCTGCTTGTTTTCTTTAGTTTATTTTATTTATTTCTTATTTTTAGCAGATTTTCTTCTTTCTTTTATTCATTATATTTCCTTGTGTTTTTACTTTGCTTTATTCTCTCTCTCTCTCTCTCTCTCTCTCTCTCTCTCTCTTTCTCTCTCACTCTAGCTCTCTCGCTCTCTCTTTCTCACTCTAGCTCTCTCTCTATCTATCTATCTATCTATCTATCTATCTATATATATATATATATATATATATATATATATATATATATATATATATATACATATACATATATATATGTGTGTGTGTGTGTTTCTTTTTGTTATTTTTTTTACACCAATCTAATTTCCAGAATATTAGCGTCCGAACGAAAAAGAATTTCCCTTAAAATGAAAAAAAATAATAAGAAATAAATAAAACATTAGCTTGTCATTTTCCAGTTTTGATTTTCGCGTTTTCTGTTATTCTGTTTTCTTTTC